TATGCTTTTACAATATTTCGCGGCGCCCCTGCAAAGAGGCCGCGGCTCCCCGGCCGTCGCGGCGCACAGTTTGGGAATCATTGCCTTAAAACAAACTTTATTATACGCCTATTTTGAAGTACTGTTTGTGTTTTTAATAATTCGGATTTTACAGTTGCAGAATCATCTGTGGTGCATTTCAAGATTGTTATATTTATATTTGATCCTAAAATGTCCAAGTTTGATGGGCTTTCTCGAATTAGGCCTTCAACTATGTATTTCTCAAAATTCATGTTTTAATATTTATTTGAATAATTAATGGTATATTTCTGTGTAACTATACTGACAGATAGATCATAAATATCAGGCTTTTTAACTTTGGTTCTCAATTAGATTGATATGCGAGTTTATTTGCTTTGGGACGATAAGTCGACGGACTTCTAGTCATACATTCTCTATGAAATAAAATTTCAGCATATAAGAACAAACTAAATAAACGGGTTTCGAAGAATTCCTTAATAATTTAATGCACATGAAATCCTCATTTGATATGGCAACTTTATCGGAAAGTAATCATAAAGTGACCTCACCGGAAAGCGAAATAAAATCGACTTGCAGTTGAGACTTCGCGAGGAAGTTGCCAGAGCAAAGTCCTGAGAACGATATCCATTCGTTTTTATCCCTTCATTCTACGAGTTACATTAATTGTCTGACACTGTGTACTTAAACAAGTATAACAGTAATTATCTTTACAACTAAATATCAACTTTCCAATGCTGATCCTCAAAGGCGAGTGTTAGTACCGACTTCCCCTAATAGTACTCTGAATGCTTCTATGCTCTATTCGTGTGGGACTATCTGGCACGCGTCTTGTCTCGAGAAATTAAGCTAACCAAATGCGACTGAAGTGGGCATTTCCACACTTCAACACTTTGTCCGACAGAACAGACTTGGGCTGGACAGATGAGCTAGGCGCCACACAAAACTGCCTCGAGAGACGGCCCCAACATGGCTGACCACGATACATGCTAATGCTTGCTCTCGTCTTCTTGTCCTCTTTGAGCCGGAAGCACTGATAGAAGGAACAAGTGGTAGCCGAAATGTACACCTGGCTTCCAACAGATCCCAGCTGAGCAACCCCGAGTCTGTCCATCAGCCTATTGGAAGAAGTCACACGCCGGGATACCCTTATCCCCATATAAGACAAACAGAAGGATTATATTTTGTTAACAAAGCCAAACAAATAACTTGAGAGCCAATCTAGCATCATTTCGGCAATTAAATAAGTAAACATTTGCCTGATTTCATACCAGTTAACCATCGTTGTGTCGTTTGTGTTTGTGTAATAATTACGCATTCATCCTCCTATTTGCTAGTGCTTTCCCGAATCAGTAGCGTGCGAGACTAAATCACGGCAGTCAGAATAGAGAGACCCTACAGTGTCTAAATAATGTATGCATTTTTGCATGAACTTCCTGAATAAGAGCTTAAATATTTGTGTACTTAAGTGTGCATGTTCGTAACCCCATTGGCATGTAGGCGTGTCCCGCCAATTTTTCCGCTTGTATATGCATGCCGAGGTGTATATGTCTTGTCCGTGTCCAAGAGGCTACCTTTGACTGACTGCAGCTGCAGAATGCCAGGCCATCCCATACAAGCAAAACACACATGCACACGCACGCACACAAAATGGGCGAATCTACGTCACCATTAACCTCGATAAAGTCTTATTTCAACCTGTTCAGGCATGTCCAGAAGTTTGAACCTCCCTAAGACCTTCGAGCAGAGCTGCTGTCATCGGAGTACGGGAGCCGGGGCCAGTTGTGGACACAACTAGCGGTCAAAGCGAAGCAGACCTGCGACAAACGAAATCCCCCAGTTTCACTCATTGAAGCCCAATGTAGGAGATGTTCATGCATTGGCGACAGCGTTGGTGTCTGGTAGGGCCAATCCCGCCCTGATTGCCCATCCAACCGAGCACACAGAAGAGCTGCATGCATGGTCGCACGCACATATACACACAAACACACGCACATAAACACAATCGTACACCCACACACGGACACACTAGTTAGTACAAACAAATGCTCAGACGAATGCGTTTGCTCTTAGGCAGGACTGAACAAAGCCAATTCGAGGTTGATGAATTCGTGTCTGCAGGTGAGTTGGGCAGGCAGAGGCAAAAGGCAAACATTTCATACTTTGGAGACGAGGCAGCAGTTAGCATGAACTCATGCCTCCCCCTCTTCTTCCAGCTCGAGAGAGGTCTTGGTGGAGATGATTAGGCCAGTTGTGGCAAGTGAGGGGAGCTAAAGAGTCTTGTTTAACCCACAACTGGAGACAGATATTATCTACCCAGAGTGAGAGAGAAAACGAGAATGAGGGCGAGTGTGAGAGAGCGAGAGAGAGCGAGAGAGATTGGGAAACCGAAACTGTCCAAGAGTTCCCGAGAATAGAGGGAGAAAGAAAATTAAAGAGACTAATATGAATAACGCCCACTGAGTGGTGTCAAGAGCAACCTATTCACTTTCTTCATCATAAGATAACTTTGGTGATTAATACAGCAACATGTCGCTGAATAAGGCCGCATAAGGTGATGAAGGACTTATATACGAATTGCCCCCCAATAACATGAGTAGACCATTTATTCACGATTTATTGATTGTATTCAAAAGTGATAATGATAAATATAAATTACGTAGTCAATCGCAATGGTAGGATACTAAGTCTCCTCAGTGATAATTGCACATTAAAACGAATTATATAGAATAGCCCTAGGTTGCTCGAGTCACAACTACCCTCTGACCGAATGGCACCCGTAGATATGTGCAGCGTGAACCATCCGAGTAATAATCCCGCTGGGTGTACCGATGGACTTATAATCGGTTTGTAGGACAATCCAAGCGCCATTATTCACGATCTGTTTATTGCATCGAAAAGTCCCCATTTTGAAAATATGTTTGCTATTTGCTGTCTGGCATTCTCGAAAACAGGTTAAGGTATCCCATTAATCTGGCCACCAATCTTCAGAACTATATGTTGCAAACGGCATTCCAGATATAAGAACTGTGTCGAAAATTTACTCTATAATGAAAAAACGGCATTCCACCCTCCAATTAGCCGTTTATATAGGGCGTTGGAAACCCGGGTTTCTCATGATCCAATGGATGCTTGGAGAATTTTTGCTCGCATAGAGGAGACCATGATAACGAATCGTGATAAATTCTGCCTACCAGAATTTTGTATAGTTTCACCACAGAGATCATGCTCTCTTCTGCTTCCGTCACTCATCGGGGGGAAGGGGAGTAATTAGGATTCCTGCTCTATTGGCTTTTGTTGTAGGAGAAGACTAAGCGTGGGTAGAAAGATTCGTAAATTGGCCTTGTCGCGGACTGATTGTTTTGCAGTTGCGACTGTTGATTTGTAAGAAAAAACACCCGGCACATCATATCTCAATTCCGATCATTTCGTACCGAGCTATTGTTCGTGCTGTCATGACAGACTATAATCAAAACGAGAAAGAATCATCTTCGATAATTCACTAAAACACTTGAAAGATCAAGAGGATCGGTTGAAATCGTAAATATTTCTTTCAAATAATTACTTTTATCTTAATGAATCAACCCACCTTCTGATTGAATATTTTTAAGCCTACCTTTGATGCATGCAGATGGATGAAATTGATCTGCAATAGAAGAGCTAATATGTGGATTTTATTTTACTCTCGTCTCTAATCAAACTTATTGAGTTTAGTTATGGGCTATGAAATCATTTTTGATAGAATGACTGAGCCTAACAGATATAAGGGATGGAAGTCGTCAAAATTGTGTCTTCAAGAAAGAAACGACTATAAGGACTTTTAATGCTATTAGAGTTTACTTGGTTTCCATTTTGAATGGAAGTTGCTGAAGATTAAATTTGTAGGTCGAACTCTCAAAACTCTTATTTAAGAACTAGGAATTATTTCGAAGATATCATTGTTACAACCAAATTCAAACTAACGACTCACTAAAACTCTTTTCAGTTTTTTAAGGATAAGTAGGTGAATTTTCTTGACTCGTTAGCTTGTATTTGGCTGTGACGATGATACCTTGCTCTGATGATTTTCGTCATATGACGGAAGAAAGCTTAGCATCTTTTCACCGGAATTGAAGGAGATGACCTCGGAAACACCTTCACCATGAATGTTTCAGTAAAGCCAATCGACACCTGGTCAAGAGGAATCCTCCTTCGTCTTCTGGTGGAATCGATCTTCGAATGTCTTTACCAAACACCTGTACTCGAAATGGAAGTAAGTAAAACCTAAAATTAACGTCTGTCCCATGACCTCTTGAATTCCGTGGCAGTATTGTAGCGGAAATGTGTTGAAATCATATGCTGTACTGCCTAGACCCCGTTGGGAATGCTGGTGAGATCCAGGCGACGTCGTCTGAAGAGAGGGCAATGCTTTGTGAACATTACGACATACTATGGCTAACACATTTC